TGGGGCCGACCCCTACGTTAGTTTAATTATTGATGAAGGAGGATTTAGAGTAGGTGATATAACTGATTATTAAAGCATTGCTATAGAAAATTTGACAATTCTGAGTTATTAAACTAGTGACAGTAGGGGAACTTTAATGGTAATCTTAAATGTGGATAGTATTTACATAATAACTACCTGACTTGTTAAAAAATCTCCCACAAGATTAAGATAAGATTGAAAATGGGGTTAGGTTGAAATCAGACATCCCACAAAATTTTGGCTATAATGAGTGGTTAGACATTAGCTTGAATTACCAAGGGTGAATATTCATGAGTGTTTATAGAAAGAATATAATGAAAGTTTGACTACAAATACCCAACTGCAAACTTAGACAACAGCAAAAGCACAAGTCACTAAAACATTCATGGTGGAGTAGCAATTTCTGCCATTCACAAAGAAGCCTTAACCCAATATATGAATTAAGCCATTAGTTTTAGGTCGTAATGTCAAGTTATAACATGCGAACATTTACTCTGAGAGATTGTAGAATATACTTTATTGAGATGCCTGAAATTAGGTTAAACCCAATGTATCATATGGTTTGGGTAGCCTGCTTAGAGATAAAAAGATGAATCATGGTGTTTACAGCCCAAGAAGTCTATGATTCATGAGTTATTATCTAAAATGTAATCCAGAAAGCAAATGTGGCTTGTGACTGCATACATGTCAGTAAAGGTCAAGAAAATGGCTATATACAAGCTAAATTACTCTCCAAAAACAGATGACATGAAAATATAAGTTTTCTCTGTCACTAGAAGTCTACCAATCAATCCAGCCCCTCCACTGGCCAGCCTCTCTGTGCCCAACTCCCTGCTAGAGATAACGAGTGAAACAGGAGTATTATTTTAAGATATTTACCATTTGTGTGGACAACTACAAAATAATCCAAGACTAACCAAGTATTTCTAACAGTGTGACATTATTCATGAGTTGTAGAAATTCAGAAATGGTAGAATTTGGTGTAAATTATTTTAATAATATTCCTAAAATATGAATAATGACAATAATAGCTAACATTTATTGACAGCTTACATTGCCAGGCACATAGTAATTGTGACTTATCATTATGATTATTGCATATCCCATGCACTGTGATAAAAATTACTTTCACCATTTTATAATAATAATCACATAAATTTGGTACTTTTAATGACATGCATTCAACAATATATGTTAAATGTACAGATAAATGAATGAATGAGTGAGTGGAAAAAAGCCGAGGCTCAGAAAGTTTAACTAACTTGTCTAAATTTGTATGACAGAAGGATTTGAAACTTAAGCTGAACCTTAAAATATGGGTAGCTTTTGAACAGGAAAGGAAAAGGGACGGGCCAAATGTGGAAAATGGCAAGAAGAAAGGTTGCACAAGCAGAACGAACTCCACATGCTTATGAGAAAAAGAGAGACTAAGTCTAAGTAGGACAGAGAGTATGTGTGGTGAAGTGTTAGAGAGTGCATTTTGGTATAATTGGGGACAATGCATCATGAACCTGATGCAGTGACTGTAAGCAGAGTAACGTGAGGAAAATTTTGTTTAATAAAGGTGTAAACTGGCTGCATTGGATAGTGTCGATTTGGCAGAAAGAAACTATGTCATAGAGGAAGAATTTACAGCAGTCTAAACATAGAACTATGAGGGTCTTAATTTTGGTAGTGATTGTGCAGGAAATAAAAAAGAAAAAGCCTAAAAAATATTTTGAAAGAAAAAAATGGATATAGAAGAGAAAGGAAAAGATTAAGCAAGGAAGAAACTAGTGTTTAGTGGGAAAGTATATCAAATGATTTCACTAAAAGAAAAATAGATATAGAATATATTGTTTTTCTTCACTAAAAGAAAAAAAGATTAGAAATTGATATCAGTTGGAGGAGAGAAAAAAAATTGTATATGGAGTTTGAGGGGATAGTGTTATCTCCAAATGTAAATAGTCTGTGATATATGAAAAGATCAGATTAAGATACAGGTACGAAAATAGCCTCAGAGATACAGATTTCTAAGTCATGGTATGAAAAGAGGCATACGGGAAGAATACAAAAAGCAGACTTGATGGAAGAGAGGACCCAAGTTCAAGTTAGGATTGTGAAACTGAACTTAAGTTGCTTAATATCCCTGAAACACAGTTAGTCCATGTTTTAAGTGGAGAGGATAGTATCTACTTCACAGTATTCCGAGCATACAAAGAGAAAGGGCGCTGCAAACTCTAAAGCTATGTAGATAAAGATACTTTATATGCTTAAGGTCATGAATATGAAAGAGTAGATACTTTAGGCGATGTATTTCTTAAGGGCTTTGAAGTTGAGACTTCAGCCTTCTTTCCTTGATTGAAGATCCACGTCTTACTGTGTTACAGAGTGGATGATTCATTATGACAGACTTTAAAAGGCCAATTGGCCTGTCTGCTTCTGCAGCACAGTAAAAATAATATGAAAGCCTTTCTAAATTCTGACCAGTTCTTTGAAGAATCATCTTTGGGGTTTGCTTAATTGGAGAAATATAATTTTAACTAGCAAAACAAGGAATAAACCAGATAAATTTCCAGTTCAAAAGTTCTTTTAATGGCATATTTACGTGAGTAAAGAAGCATCTTAAATACCACTTATATTTATTCTTTATTATTAGTTTTCAACCCTGAAATTGTATAACACTAAATTATAAATTGACACTTTTAAGCACATTGACCGCTTGATTTAAGTATGCATGATAATCTATTCTTGATTTTACTAGACTTTTTAAAGTTCCTAATGCATTGAAATAAATAATGCTACCTTAGGAAAAATTTGAAACATAGATACTTGAACAGAGTGCAAGTTCTTAGAGAAGAGGGATCAGGTAGGTTTTGTGTTCTCAGAGTACGTTTATAATATCATTATCTTATTTTTAAAGATTAATCAGAAGAAATATTTTTAGTTGAATGAGATCTGTGGATCTTGATATTTTTTAAGGAAATCACAACTCAAGTGTGAGTATATAATGACAAATTGCCTAATTTAAATTGTGATTACATTTTACTTTCTTATTTTTCTTTTATTTTTGATATGCTGTCAAGGTCTGAGCTATTTATCATGGATGTCACAGACATCACAGTTCAACTTGCCATAAGTATTCATAGAGTTATATGGAAATTATCCCAATTCTCATTCATAAGCTTGAGCCTCCCCAGAACAGAATTATTTCTTAATTTATCTTTGCATACCCAGCACCTTGGACAGTGCTGGCCATGCACTAGGCACTTACTATTTTGGACCAGACGAATCCGTGAATGTTTTGTCCTGATACTATAGTTGTCTTATTTATCGCTGGAGATATTAATCACCAGGGCTTGAACGTCTTTTTTATTTTGCTGTAATGGTGTTGCTTGTATGCAAACTACTCATTGTTAAACTGAGTAAATTGTTACATACTTAAATTGTTTTATTTCATTTTTAATGCAGGATGTTACATTTGGAAAATAAAATTTTGCACTAAAAATCATGTTAGCATAAAGAATTATTTTATCAAAATATTGACTTCCTTTTACCTACAAAAGCACGATATTGTTGGAAAAGAAATTTAATTACAAAAAAAATACCCTTTCGAAAGCAATGTTTACGTTTATTCTCACCTTCAAGTTCACCAAGGAATTCTTAGAGGTAGGAGGAAGACCTTCATGCTCCTATCCTCCCCCCAAAAAAACAAAACTGGAAGAGAAAAGGGAATTTTCCTCTTGGATTTTTAAAATATTATTACTGTGGAACACTGTGGATTAGTGTACATTGTAAAGGCATGTACTCTGAATTCCCTTTTTTCCCCTGAATTCCGTTTAAGCTTATATCTTATAAATACACTCTTGATGATTCGTGTTACCCACATGCACTACTATAAAGATTACAGATCCCGGCAACTGTTCCTTGTATTCAAAGCGGAAACTAGAACTTAATGAAGAGGAGAAGAAAATGTACCAAAGGCAAACCCGCCTGCAAATGATCTCTGTAAACCGATGTTATTCGGTTTGCACTAAACGAGTCGTTGCACTAAATTGCACAAGAACCCTTTGTCTGCGGGACGCTGGGTCTGGCAACCATTATCTACTCGTGGAAACGACGTCTGCTGACTCCGCCCGGGCTGGGGGTGGGGAGAGTGCACCGCGTGGAGAGCTCCGCTGAGGATTAAAGTGAACGAACAAAGAGAACTCCCAGCAGCCGCCCGCCAGCGCTTCGCAGCTGCACCGGGAGACGTCAGTCACGCCCGGAACGCTGTTGGAATCCGCCTCCCTGAGAAAAGAGCTCAAGTAAATAATTGATGGAAATTGATCCAGCCTAGGACAAAGCTTTACAGAAAACCGGTGCCTCCTATTTCGAGACGTTTCGGAATCTTCTGCCAAGCACAGGATATTGGAGTGAGGCAGGCACTTTGAAAGCTTTGAGAGCGACCACCGATCTTCCATCTCGGGCGTGGCTCTGGCCTTTTTGTCTTGCCCCCCCCCCCCCCCCCCGTCCCTGCCTTTTTCTCTTTCCTTTTGAAAGTAGCTTCTCTTCGGTTACTTCTACCCTCCCTTGCAATTCCGCCCCCTCCCCTGCTGGGTCTGGTGAGGTCAGCTCATGAATATCTGTGCACTTCCTGGGGAGCGTCTGGCACGGCGTGGTACCTCGCGTGTTCGCCTCCTCCGAGCCGCAGATCCAGCCCAGCCGCGGACTGATGAAGGAACCGGCTCTGGGGCCTCTGAGTCTGCACGTTAACGCCATTGTTTGGAGAAATCGAACGGGTGTGGAACTGGGGCGAGCGGGCCCAAAGTCGTGCTCGGCCAGAAAGTCGCACATCATACTACGAAGTTAAACTTCCCTCGTCTCTGAAAGACACAATCATAAACCCTGAGGTTCCTGGAAGATCGAAAGGGAAGGGCTGTTGATTTGCATCAACTTGGAAACATCGCCTCTGCTGAGAAGTGAGCAGTTCTTCTGGATTTCTAAAGGGATGGGCATGAGAAATGGGGTGGGTCAGTGGGCAGATGAAACCATTGATTAAAAATGTTGGTTTGGGCCATGCTGGGGTTGCTTGGTTGGTGATTTCCACGGGCAAAGCCTTGAAGAGACACAGCATCTTGTCACTTTGTGAGAACCACGTGACAGAAGCCAGGTACCTTTGATTGTGGGAGCTGTGTTCCTGTAAAACGAGCTTTCTCTTGGGTGAGAGCTGTATGGGGGCCGAGTGTAACGTTTCTCTGGTGGCACTTATCTCCAGAGTGATTCTGCCTAATTCAGAACAAAATTAAGCTTGCGTTGGCAATATAACTTGTTTGGGTGGTCCACATTAGTGTGACCCATGCCGATGAACTAGGCTCTTCTAGGAGCATGTGGCTCCCGGAGAACATGTAGAAAATAAGTTGATGGGCAACTTTTTTTTTCTCTATTGTCTTCCTTCTTCTCTATTATTTTCCAAAATGAGTTGGAAGGAGATCCCAGAAAGATAAAGGGAGATGGAGAAGGATACTTCCAATAATTTTTCTTTATAAAATGAGGTATCACTGAATGTTGACTAATAACAGGCATAATGTTAGTAAAATAACTAACAAGTATCTCCTCTCCTAATAGGAAAAAAAATTTTTTTTAAACAGAACTTTCTGCCTAGTCATACCCTTTTCGGTACTTTAGAGAGAAATTATAGTTCTAAGGCAAAGGCACCCAATTGATTAGCTTGCTAGCTAGCTGGATCACTAGGGAGAAGAACCCAGGAGGCAATGGCTTGCTATTTTCCAGATTTTAAAACCCAGTGATAGATTTGCCTTGGAAAAAATGCACAATAGAAATTGCTCTTATCACCATGAGTGAGGATGCAGCAGCCTTCGGGGTGCAGGGTCAGGATGCACCAGCTGTCTTGGATGCAGCATCATTTTATCTCAGAATTTGGCTCCATAGGAGGGACTGGGCACTTTAAGAGTACAGCTTTGCCTACGATATGTATGATATGCCCTCCATGCCATTTGCATTCTTAAGAATGAAAACATTTTATATCTAGCAATTACACTTAAAACTAAAATGATTCCACAGAACTGTGAAATTTGGGTAAGTCTAGAAAAAGTGACCACCCATAATTTAAGAAATTGTACACAGCCTCGAATAAACTTTTCCAAAAGCATTTTAAAAATTTTTCCCTAAAGCTAAAAAAATCCATATAGGGTTGCTGATGACTAAACCATATAGATGATTCCTAATGCCATTATTTTCTTGAAACTGAAGTTGATTTAAAGTCATCCATTATTTGTATTTTCTCTTAGTTCTCATCTAAAGGAAATTGGGTACATTTCTCTAACCAAGAGCATTAAGGTTTAGAGTTGTTTGAGAATAGTGCCATTTATCCGTAGCAAATCTCTAGGAACCTTCATCATAACCCTTTCCCTCTAATTGACACTTGGGAATATTAATTAAATAAAACTTTCTCCACTAAACTAGGCTTTAAAATGCAGATTTGATAGTGAGGAAAAGCAAGGTCGAAAACGCGGGGAGGGTATTGTCAACTTTAGCATGTGGACAGTTCCTTTTCCTTCTGAACCTTCTTCCTGACCTTATCCTCTTTTTTTTTTTTTTTAAATCTCTCTCCCTAACAATTCCTTTCTGTCTCCATGTTTCACTCTTGCCAAAACCTGCTACCCTAGAATGTTAGATTTAGTTGCTTTCAGGTCGTCATTTACTGAGGTGGCGTCAGAAGGAGATGGCGCCTCCCTGGGCAAAATGAGAATTGATAATTGTGCATCCTATTCCTAAAGTCAAGGCTTCTATTAAGCGCCTTCCAAAAATCTCATTTTCTAGGGCTTCTCTTGTTTAAGAAAATCACTCTTTGCTCTGCAACAATTCAGACATGCTGTGCGCTTCCCTTCTCTTGTTTTTGTGCCAGGTTAGAAAGAAAGGTTGGTGGCAGTGAGGAAGGAGGAGAATGATCTGGTGATGGACCGTTCTAAATCTCATTGGGTAGATTTTTTCTAGACTGCCATGAGTCAGCCACCGACGGGGGGCGCTGCCCCTGCCGCCGCCGCAGCTTGTGCCGCCACTGCTGCCACAGAAGCTCGCCTGCACCCGGAGGGCAGCAGCAGAAAGCAGCAGCGTGCTCAGTCACCTGCTAGACTGAGGGACAATTCGGTCCGACAGACAACCGCTGCCACCCGGTCCCCTGCGGGGGCCGGCACTAAAGTCAATTCTGTTCGACAGCAGCAGCTGCAGCAGCAACAGCAGGGCAACAAGACCGGGAGCCGCACAGCGCCTCCAGCCATCGCCCGAGGAGGCGGAGGCGGAGCGGAGAAGGCAGCGCCCCTGGCGCCCAAAGGGGCCGCGCCGGGAGCTGTCCAGACCGCGCCTGGTGCTGAAGCGGCCCCCGCGGCGACCCTGGCCCCGGTGGGCGGCAGGAGGCCTGGCCCGTCGGAGGAGCCGCCCCGGGAGCTAGAACCCGTGTCCTCTAAACTCGGGGAACCCCCTCCGCTGGGAGAAGGAGGAGGAGGGGGTGGGGAAGGAGGAGGAGCCGGCGGCGGCTCCGGAGAAAGGGAGGGGGGCGCTCCGCAGCCGCCGCCGCCGCCCAGGGGCTGGCGAGGGAAAGGCGTACGGGCTCAGCAGAGGGGCGGCAGCGGCGGCGAGGGGGCCTCCCCTTCGCCATCCTCCTCCTCTGCGGGCAAAACCCCAGGCCCTGGCAGCAGAAACTCCGGAAGCGGCGTGGTGGGGGGTGGCAGCGGTGGCGGAGGGAGCTACTGGAAGGAAGGATGTCTGCAGTCTGAGCTCATCCAGTTCCATCTCAAGAAAGAGCGGGCGGCAGCGGCGGCGGCCGCAGCTCAGATGCACACTAAGAACGGCGGCAGCAGCAGCAGCCGCAGCTCCCCGGTCGCTGGCACCCTTGCCATTTGCGAGCCCCTCGCACTCCCTTCCGCCTCCCCAATGGCGGCGGCAGCAGAAGGCCCCCAGCAGAGCGCAGAGGGCAGCACGAGCGGCGGGGGCATGCAGGCGGCGGCGCCCCCATCGTCGCAGCCGCACCCCCAGCAGCTCCAGGAGCAGGAAGAAATGCAGGAGGAGATGGAGAAGCTGCGAGAGGAAAACGAGACTCTCAAGGTGAGGAGGGTGGGGGTAACCTGGTGGGGGAGGGGAGGTGTGGGCCTCGGAGGATTAGGGCGTGTCCGGGCGGGGGTGAAAGGCTGCTAACCTGTTAGGGAGCCTTGAAGAGGGAGGGGAACAGGAAATGAGGAGAGGGGGTTCCTCGGCCTTTTCCGGATTTAAAACAGCCTGAGATAGCGTTAGATTTTAATTTAAATCCAAATCTGGGCCTTCGTTTCTCTGATTTATCATGGTATGTCCCACTTTTTCATAGAGCTAGAGTAGGAGAGAGAGGCCTAAAGAGGGTCCGTTTTTTCAGTTTCTTCTCCTTCATTCAGCTCCGTGTCACTCCTGTCTCATGGAGAAGGGGCAGTAAAGCTGGGAATTTGGACTTGGGATGGGGTGTACACGGTGTATGTCGGAGGGGTGGGGGAAGAGGCTAATTTTGACCCGCGGCCTGTTACCACCTCAGAACGAGATCGATGAGCTGAGGACCGAGATGGACGAGATGAGGGACACTTTCTTCGAGGAGGATGCCTGCCAACTGCAGGAAATGCGCCACGAGTTGGAGAGAGCCAACAAAAACTGCCGGATCTTGCAGTACCGCCTCCGCAAAGCCGAGCGCAAAAGGCTCCGCTACGCGCAGACCGGGGAGATCGACGGGGAGCTGTTGCGCAGCCTGGAGCAGGACCTCAAGGTCTGCGGCACCGGGCTGGGGACGCACAGCAGGGGCGGCGGGGCGCCGGGCGCGGGGAGCGGGGCAGGGTAGGGTGAACTCTGGTCAAGGGCTTTTTGAGCTGAAGGGCTTCAGTGGTGACTGGCAAAGAGCTTTAGGGACACGGAGTTTTCCAGCGCTGACCACAAAATACCAGGATCCCGGAAGGGGAAGATGCAGAACAGACAGGTGGGTTTGAAGAGTCCAGTGGGTGTGGAAGGTCTTGCGGAGAGGGAGCCCTGTGGGCTCTCCTGGGGGTGACTCTTCCAGAGGTGGGGGGAAGAGGGCGCCTCCGTCCATGGCGGAAACAAGGGCGTGGCAGAGCGAAGGCTCTGGCCTTGATCTGGCCTCCAGGGGTTGTCTTCCTAGTGAAGGCCAGGCAGAATCAGGCACCCAAGAGCAGCATGATGAAGACTCCTCCAGAGGAGGAGCCCAGAATAAGAACAGCATTGGGAAGGTGTTAAAGTTAAGATTTCTCTCTGCAAGACCGCCCCCCCCCCCCCGCCCCCCATCCTCCAGGACTCCTTCCCTTCTGTGTTACCTCTGCGATATCTCCCCGGAAGGAAAACTGTCCACTTGCGGCTCCTTTTGGAGAAGTAAAGGGAGAGCGAACTAAATGAAAGAGCCTCCTTCTTAATGTGAAGTTGCTTCTTCAGAATCTCCCCCAGTGGAGAAATTTTAGCCTTGAAATGCAGTTTTTAGGCAGGTGTGGGCTGTTCAGTTCAGTTTGACTGTAGGCAGATTCTCTGACAGTGCAAATCAGATGTTATCTTCATGGCCATGAACAAGGAAACAAACATAATTTTAGTTGTATTAACTTCGTCAAAATATAAAAATCAATTGTAATTATCCTATATTTGTTTTAAAGAAAGCTATGAGGAAGCATTTTATGAAAGTTGTTGTATTATTTCTCTTTTTCTTCTTTTCCTCTCATTTGTTGAGTACACACTAGGCACCAGGCACTGTGCAAGCATTGTTACATATATTATTATCTCAGTTCTCAAGAAGAAAACACAACAAAACTATAAGGTAGGGATTATTAATAGCATCATTTAACAGGTGCCCAAGCTGAACCTTTTACAGAGGTTAAGTGCCAAGCTTCCAGACCTGGAACTCAACTAGTCTGTGGCCAGGCTGGCTCCCCACCCAGTCTAAAACCACAGCCTGGCACTGAGTCACTACACCAGGCTGCTCCACCTTTCTTTCCAACGTAATCTCAAAACAGGAGGCAAAAATGCGCACTGTCATTTTTTTAGAAGCTTAATCTCAAGGACTAAAATGTTTCCTAAAACTAAACACCCGGAGGTATAGGATCAAAATTCAAGCCCCGTACACCACTTGTGAAAAATTTGTTTTCTGGTCTTTAAAATGTGTATTAACAGAAGCACCTCCCTCATAGGTTTTCTTTTTGTAGAATTATAGGAGATATGTGAAATTTCTCCTCACATAATAAAACACAATTGAACATTTATTACCACACTGTCATGTAGAAGTTAAGGGAACAAAGTCAAGAGCCAGACCCCTCGCCATTTGTTACCTATATGACCTTGAGCATATTACTTCACATCTCTGAGACTTAGTTTCCTCATCTATAAAACAGGAATAATAATAGTACCTATTTCATGGGATTGTTGTGAGAGTTAAATGGTTTATGTATGTCAATGGCTTATATTTAAAACATCTGGAAAGATGCCTGGCACATGGCGAACACTGTATAAGCATTGGCTCTTGTTACTTTAGTATGAATATCACTTTAGCCAACTTATTTTTTTGTCTTTAATTATATTCTGTTGTTACAAACTGCTTTCATTTAGGTTGCAAAGGATGTATCTGTGAGACTCCACCATGAATTGGAAAATGTGGAAGAAAAGAGAACGACAACAGAAGATGAAAATGAGAAACTGAGACAACAGCTTATAGAAGTTGAGATTGCAAAGCAGGCTTTACAGAATGAACTGGAAAAAATGAAGGAGGTTAGTATTCAATTATCTCTTAATGGACTACGTATTTTTAGTTCTTTAGGAAAGATTCCCAAGGACTAATATGACTGTTAAAGAATTGGCTTTTTTAATGATTATAGGACATTTGGTTGTTCTCACCCAATATAGTGACAGACATATGATTTCATACTAATAAGTAAGTAGCAAAGAAAAAATTTTGACCTTAGCCCTTCCTCTAACCTGACATATGACCTATGACTCATGTTTCATCCTGTGTCATCCAAATGTGTCTGTTAGTTAAATTACACAGCTGAACCAAGCACAAAGGGTGTCAAGATTATGAAGAAATAAGCCCTGTGTTAGTTGAGATGAAGAGCTAGTCCGGTGAGATTACTACTGAGTTCATAGAACCACAGACTTTTGGGATGAAAACGGCCGTTTAATCTAATCTAATCATTGCTTGAATCTTCCTTATAACAAATCCTCCAAATGATCTAATGCTTAGAGCGTCACCAGTCACTAACCCTTCAGATCTTCTGCAGAAGCCAGTGCTATCACAGTATAGCTCTCTTTAGAGGTTTTCTTTGCTTCAAGTTGAAATCTACTCAATTGTAACTTTAACCAATTCATCTAAGTTCTACCCTTTAGGGTAGAAGAGTCAGAGTTCTCTTCCACATCTTCTATTTGAAGATTCCTACCATGTTTCCCCTGAATCTTCTCAAAGAACAAAATCAGTATCAAAGGAAATAATTGGAGGAGGAAAGAAACAGAAAAGATCTATCAAGAAATAATTAACTTTTTGATACAGTGCAACTTGTGAAAACTGTTATTGAGAGTTAGCAAATACATACGTAGTCCTTAGAACATTTTCCTCTGCTTAAATATGCAGAATTTAAATGAAAATCCTAGTCTTTCCATGGACTAACTGAGATATTGCACCTGCCATTGCTGCGCTTATCTCAAAATGGTATAAAAATATATCAACCGTGTAACAATGAAAATATCAATAGTCTGATTAAGAATATGTACGTGTCAAGAATTTGTAGAAGACTGTTTCAGTGGGGTAAACCATTTTGTGATCTAAGTTTCTACTTAATCTTATATCATCCTGACTTTAAATATTTTTTAACATGACAAATTAGGGCAAAATCATTTTAATGAGATATAATTGTTGGCTAATACCCAAGGGTGACTGTGTGTTATAACAGAAAAACATGAAGACTGGGAGCCATGTTACTATCCTCATCTGTAACTAACTGGGTAACTTAGAAGACCTCTAACTTCTACTTGCCTCAGTTTATTCAGTTGTAAAATGCTTTTGATGATTCTCAGCATCGCCTGTGGCTATCGTGACTTTTATCATGAAACCTAAGACATTACTATTAGAGAACAGCACAGATTTTTTTCTAAAGTTAAGAGATCAAATATAAAAATAATATAGATTTAAATATATGTTTCCTCAGCAATAATGTACAGTGGAAGTGTGTCAAAAATTGAAAGTTTGAGTTCCAGGACGTGGGTAGGTAGATGTATTAGTTTGCTAGGGCTGTCGTAACAAAGCTCCACAAACTTGGTGGCTTAAACAATAGACATCTATTTTCCTTACAGTTCTGGAGGCTTGAAGTCCAAAGTCAAAGTGCTGGTAGGGATTCCTCCTTCTGAGGGCTGTGAGGGAGGGATCTGTTCCAGGCCGCTCTCCTTGGCTTGTAGATGGCCATCTTCACATTCACGCAGCATTCTCTTTGTAGCTGTCCATGTCCAAATTTCTCTTTTTTGTAAGAACACCTGTCTTATTAGATTAGAGCCTACACAGATGACCTCATTGTAGCTTGATTGCCTCTGTAAAGATCATATCTTCCAATAAGGTCACATTCTGAGGTACTTGGGGTTAGGACTTCAACATATGAATCGAAGGGACACAATTCAACTTTTAACAATAGCTACTGAATACCTTCTTATAGTCCAAGAGAAAGTTCATTGTCAGTCCCATTAGGCTCCATTCCAGGTTCATACCTCTCTTGCCTTCTTCCATATTCTGCATTTATACTATTAAAAACATTCAAGTAAAAAAAATTTCACTTCATTACCAAGGATGAAAGACAAATACCTTGTGATTTGGTGTCATGTGACTGTGTTTCAAGTTGGATTTAAGAATGGCATAAGAGATTTCTGATTTTCATCCTGTTCCAGGAAAGGGGAAAATGCCTATAGACTGGCTGTCTGTAAGCCAGACAGATGGGACCTCTCCCGTCTTCAAATAAAAGCCAAAATAATCTGGCTACCGAAGAAGGACTGGAACCTGCGAATGTCCTCAAGGAGAATCATTGTGAAGATGCATTTCCTTGATTCTGTTCCCCACACTCTTCCCTATGACTACTTCTTCCTTCAGGGCTCTAACTCTGGATTGGAAAAACACTGTTGTAGAACCAAGCAGTGTGGGTATATATGTTCATGCCAAAGAGGCAATTCACATTCTCCCTGGAGTTATAAAAGCCGAATTCCAATCCCTGATTAGGGACTACAACAGTAAAATTGTAAGGAGTTTAGGAGCAGGTATGCAGGACATCAGTTCTTAAAGTAACCTTTTACTAAAAAGATGGGCTCTAAAATAGCATTTATAGTTTGAGAAGATGGATGGTGGTGGGGAAAAGAAATAGAAATAGAGAGGAAGGACAAACGAGTGGAAGATAAAGATCTGGGGTATTCTAAATGTAATACAGGGAAAATGAAAATATTCTAGGAGGGAAGTTCTGTAATCATTCATTTGAGATTGCCCTTCATAGTGTTCAGAAAAGTGTCAGAAGTAGAAAAAGTAGTTTGAAAATATGTTTAGAAATCAGAAATGGTCCATTAAAATAAGATTTTTCTAATGGTACTTCTGTTATCTTCCAAAAAGATAGCTCCTAAAACTAAGCTGCAGTAATAACTGGCTCATTTTGTGGGGTAGGAGTTGTAGGTTTGAAGCCTGACTTGTTCTTGTATGTCTGCAACAGCTCCACTTAATCATCTGCTTCTGGATTGTAAAATGAAAACATATTCAAGTCCTTGGTGGGTTGTAACCATACGACTGTCATCCCTTTGTGGCAGTCTACCAGTGGAGAAAATAGAACCAGGCCAAGCTTTCCATTATAAAGAAAAGACGTTAGTTAATGGAGCAAAATCATAAAATGTGAAATAGAATATACTAGAGAGAAGCAATCCTCCAACTCCCAGTTTTTAGTTTCTTATATGGAGTCAAAATGGATGTTGAACAACACAACTGGGACCAATAGCCCATCTGTTGAAGTTTGGAAACCATTTACTAAGAGTTTAACTGGCTTTGGGGGTGTTGACCAATTGCTCTCAAGGCTAGTGGCTGCACGAGGTTCTGTGCACCTGCTCACATCCATCTGCTTATCTTCTCCCCCTAAGAGTATGGAATAGGTACCTCGAGATAAGAAGAGTTGAGTAGAGTCAGGACGGAGGTAATTACTGAGTCTACTGCAACTCATTACTTGTATCAAAACAGCTGGTATTCTGCCAAGTGCAAACAAGAGGGACCTCTTAGGAAGCTGCCTTAGAATCTTAATGACATTCTCTTCCTGATTATAAAACATTGATTGCCTCTAGCAGTATGCTTTCTTGCAGTAAAAAATGCCTTTACCTTTTTGTAACCTGGAGAAAAATGATGAGCTATCTTCCAGCATCACAAACAATTAGAAAGACAAAAGTTGTTGTAAAAGTTATTTCATGGAAACTACAACTAGTCTTTTGAATGCCGGGATGGGTTAATGCACAAATAGCATAAAGTGAGGATATGGAGGAAGCTCTATCTAATATGGAGGAGGCTCATGAGAGGCGAGTCTCTGCTACAGTTAATTGAGGGTCACTGCCCTTCATGAACTCCTGTTTCTATAGGAAGAACCTTTCTTTGCACAACTTTATTTCAAAACCCCTTTGCTCTTCAAGAGGGAGAGGTCTTCTCATGTCACCTTTAAGGTCTGTTTTTGAGAAGCATTGATGATAGTCATTTGAGGAAAGAAATAACCAAGAGAGGACCTTTGAAGATGGAAAGGGGAGAAAGAGTAATTGAGATGATGATGATGATGATGAGAACTGTTTATTACATCTTTTTCATTTCAGAATCTGTACTCTTTGTGTTGTCTCTTCCCTCACCCTCACACAAGAGTCTTAAAAGAAAATGATTTCCTTAACTTTTCCTGGTCTCTGCTCTCTACAGGGCTGTTAACTGGCCAACAGCAATAACACCATCTGTCTTGGGACTTTTATTCTCTGTGCACTTGGCTAACATATCTTATCCATTACAATGAACTTTCATTGTAGGACACAAAAATAATTAATACTATAAATTGCAACAGTAGTGTCCCTGTTTTTTTTTTCTTTTTTAGAGTACATAGGGAATACATCTATTTACTCAGACTCTCTTTACAGATATAAGACTTTAATAAACAAAAGCTTGTCCTGCATGTTTAAAATTACCTACTTATTTTCTTATGCAAAACAAAGAACTATATTTGGTTTTAATAGGGCTTGTTTATCTAAGTTTTAAAGTGTAAAAAAGAAATATTGAGTGATAAATCAGCAAAGAAGCAGTCCAATAGTTTAAATGGAGAATTTCTTTGGCATTTGAATATTTTCCCCTGGTTCTGGTAGTTAATTTACAATTTGAAAAATGGAACAGCCGTCATTGATATTTTTTAATGAAATTGCTGTAAATATTTTGAAATGCATCAGTTAAACACCGTGACTTTAGTCACATCTCAGAGGCAGTAGTTTGTTAAATCACGTAGGCAGGAATAATAGAGACTAAATTAAAAACAGAGAAGAGTGTTCCAGGTAAGCACTGGAAAGCTTGTCTTCTGGGGCACCATATGTTGTGAATGCATTTTTAAAGATGTATTTATTTAGTAATTATAAACTTTATTGGATTTTTTTCGTGAAATTATATATGTAGTCGCTTGCACTCTAAAGTGATTCCCAAGACGCAGTCTTGGTTAAGTGGCCCTTTCTTTCACCCAGATGGCAAGCCTTCA